TCTTGGCGTCTCGCACACGCAAAGTTTGAGAGACTTAAGACTTAAGACTTAAGACTCTGGTTACTGAGTCGTCATGATATGTGTGCTTCGCATGACGTTTCACTGTTTCACTTCACGGCCTATCCAGGACATGGTGCTTGTGTGCTGCATGACTGCATGGCTGCTTCATTGATAGCTCCTTGCTGCTTGACATTGAGTGTGTGTAGGGCTTCTTGCGAGGTGGCGTCCGCTAATCTATCAGGGCAAGAGATTCTGTTTTACCTGAGCTCCGCAAGCTTCGACAAGCCAAGCTCTGCTGCTCCGTGCGTGGGATGGATGATTAAAAGTCTTCCTGATGATTCAAAGACGCCACCTTTGCTGGTGGCATCTGTCACGTCAGAGATGGTGAAATTCCACGCCGCGTGCATTTGCTGCATGTTGGTCAATGTTGGTCGGTAACTTCACTTGCAATTGTTTCACTCGCTTCAATATGTGGATGCAAGAGTATAATGGAATAGGAAGCCATGAGCTGAACCACATGAGCCATGAACTCAGCAATTAAAGATATGCAGGAGTGGATCGGAGGTTGACGTCAACATGCAGTATCCATCTCTCAAAGCGGACCGGTCGAACTTGGAACGTATTCAGGCATCGGCATGTGTGGTAGTTTGTCCATGGTAGTGTTGTGCTCTTTGTTGCTTGGTTAGATTGCTTGTTTATCTGTGTGCCTGTGTGCTTGCAGTGCATACTCCATAGTCTACAGTCTACATTCACGGCATGACATTCGCCTCTGCATGTAGGAGGCTCTCAAAAATCAGAAGGAAGAGAACTACGCTGGTACTCGGTTGACATTGACAAGATCGCTATTCGATGAAGAGAAAGCAGCCATTGCACTTGCAAAAAGCAAAAGCAGAGCCCCCTCCACATCGGGGCCGTCGTTAGGCGGTGCAGCTGTTGCTCAAGCGGTGGCGAATCAGAAGCAGGGCAAATCAAAAGAAGAATCGGCGGCAAGCATCCTCGGCGACATCTTCAGCAAATCAACCAAAGAGTGCAAGGACGTTGCATTTTTGTTGAAGTGACGCATGGGGCACGTCATCCAGCCAATCGCTCGCGGGTCTTTCTAACACAGTACATCTGCATATGGTTTGGTCGTGCGGTCAGGCAGTCTAGCGGTGCAGCAGTCTATGCAGCGAGTCAACTAGGCTTCAGTTCATGACTCCATGACATGCTCCTTGCAAGTCACGATGTGGTGTTATGTGTAGCAGCAACGAATCGAAGATTCGTGTTGCGATTTGCTTGGCTCCGAAAACTGGACCATAGCCAGTAGTAGATTATTAGGTCTTTAGGCCTTTAGGTCCCGTGTAGGTGCATCACGCAGTTGCATTTCGACAACATCTCCAGCTAACGGCAGTTAGTAACTTGCAGATTGCATCCATCAATAGTCAACACAGACTCAAAATCATTTAACATTGCAATGCAGTGCAGTGCAGCAAAGCAACGTCTAACGTCAACCAACAAACCTACACCAACTACAACTAACACCACCACCGCCACAAGAAAAACAACACCAACAACAACAACATTATCACCAAGAGCAACAACACCATCAGCAGCAGCGGAAGCAGTAGCAGCGGCAACCACCACCACCACTACCGCCGCCGCGACCACAACAACAGCAACAACGACGCCACGACAACGACGATAACAACGACAAGGACAACACCAGCAGCAACAACGGCTGCAGCAGCACATCGACACAGGAAGAACATATCACACAGTCATCACCACCCACCACCAACAGTTCAACTATCATAAATCAGATCAACAAACCAACAACATAATCAACAATCGCCGCCACACAGTGAAACAGCAATCAACAAGAGCACAACAGCAAGCAACAGCACCAACAACAACTACTACTGCAAGGAAGGAGCGTGACAACGTAAGTATAGTGACAATGACCACGTCATGACAATGACAATAGTAGACGACCGCAGCAGCAACAAAGCCAACCAATCACCTCATCGATCGCAGCAACAGCAACAACAACATCAACGGCAGCAGCAATCAACAATCAACACAACTCATCACTAAACTCAGCAACACAGACACACCGACTTCAATCAATATGGAACAGACAATGTGAACCATAAGCCGTGCACCACGAATCACAAAACACACGCATCCGTCACGCATCCACATCCATGCCTGCAGTTAGCGAACAACAACAATGAAAACAAGAACAGCCCTAAGCCACAGAATCATAGTGATTCAGCGGCGACAGCAGCAGCAACAACATGCGGCAGTAGTGTCAGATTACTCATCACCACCAGTGTCACAGCTGCGCCAAGAAGAGCGACCACAACATCATAACAAAAACAACACCAGCAACAACAACAACAACAGCAACAGCAACAGCAACAGCAACAGCAACAACATCAACCACAATCGACAAACCACAACAATATCAACATCAACAGCAGCTTCACCATCTACAACAACAAGAACAAAACCAATAACGCGAATAATCACACGACAACCACACACAATCACAACAACAACATCAGCAGCAGCTGGATCAACAAAACAACAATGCCACAATAGCACTCGTAGTCACCACCGGCGGTAGCTGCCTGCTGGTATGTTGTGGAGGTGTTTCCTCGTCGCTGCCACAAGAGCTTTGGGGGCTTCATGTCTCACGTGGCGACGTTGGGCTGCAAGCACAGCACCGAACACGCACCAGTGAGAGAGTGAGAGTGAAAAAAGATCAAGTGAGTTTGAGCTTTGCTGTTGCCATCGCTTTGCATTGCGTTCGAGTACGAAGCATGTCGTTGATTGTTATGAAGTTGTCACGCTGAGCCATGCTGTCATGAATCACGAAACATGCTGGCACGTGTCACACGGGCAGTCTCGGTAACGAATGCTTGCATAGCTGCATAACTGGAACGAATGTTGCTTTGCATGGTGGTTGCATCGCAGGGAAAACGTTTCACCGTTTCACCAAGCTTACACGTTTCATTGTCTCATGCAGTCATGCACGTCATTGACTTTACAGTCAGCTAGTTGTCGTTTTGACCCGTGCTCTGTCGTCCTGCAGCTGACAAGCTTCGGCGGCAGTTGTTCATGCAACATGATTGATCATGAATGCGTGCATCTCAGGCTTCACGGCTTCATGCTGACATGACATGTGACATGCACTGAACATGAGACTCGTGCTTTCCCATGCATGCTAACAGGTGAAACGGTGAGGTGAAACGGTGAAACGATGAAACGGTGAAACAAATTGAAGTCTGAAGAGTCTGAAGAGTGAATGTCAGAGTGTGAAACAGTGAAACAGTGAAACAATGAAACCGTGAAACAGTGAAACAGTGAAACAATGAAACCGTGAAACAGTGAAACAGTGAAACAATGCAATGCATGGATAGCTATGCGCTGCGCCGCAAAAGTGTAGAATCCACTCGATACAGAGGTGAAACCAACTTACTCTTCGGCCCGTCGGCATGTATTTGCAGTTTTCCAGCAGCACAAACAAAGTGTTTTTATCATTCGCTCGGTTCAGTCATTATGTGATCCGGAGAGCCCTATAATTGGAACATATACTTGGTCCTTACCGAGTCCTTACCACAAGCAGTACCCTTAGAACTGGTTTCCCGGGTGAATCCGTTTGCAAGCCAAACCTGGCCTACCTATGAACTGAGGGTTCATAGGTCTTTAGGGGTTTAGAGTTTAGGGTTTGGAGTTTTGGGTACTTTTGAGGGTCTAGGAACTTCAGGGTGTTTAGGCTGTAGGGTTTGGGGTTTAGGGCCCCTTAGTTCGTAGTACCGCGCTTCCGGCGGTTTCCGAAAGTTTGGCCTCTGAGTGGCGAAGCTTCGGAAACCTCCGTCTGGCCTTCGCTTGCGGCCAGAGCAGAGTGAAAGATCAAGATCAGAAGGAAAGGCTGCAATCTTGGCAGGTGTAATATACTATAGGGGCCTAAATAATTGCCTATACTATTTGGAGGGGTTCCTTATTACAAAAATAGTATAATGGCCCCCAAAACCCTATTCTAATCACGAGCTCCACAGCCTGGCATGTACAGCTCTTGAAGGCCCCCTTGGAAGTTGCAAGGCCGCTGAACATGGCTGGCACGACTCGCCTTGGCAACCTCGGGTGACATGGTCAAGTCGTGTTTGCAGGTGTTCATCGACCTCCCACTCAGAGGATCATAGGACTTAGTAACTGGGGGTATAATTAGGGTAACTATACTTTTGACCCCAATTAAGGTACTCCTATCCTTACTTACTAAGTCCCATGATCCTCGAAGCAGCCCCATGTCTCACTCCACGACGATGGCCAGAATGCGCTCAGGGCAAACGTTTTTTCGCGTCAGTGGATCTACATGACGTTTGCCCCCTGGTTGACAGCCTGACATCCGCTGCCCCTGCTGACACAAGTACAGCTCACATTCGCCTGGCCGGTTGCAATTTGAGCTCAGATTCGTGTAGGAACATGGAAGGCATTCAACCAACTGCGCAGCGCAATCGCAGCATGATATCGCCACCGACAGCCGAGCATCATGCATCGTCACAAGAACGTACACAGCAATAAGTTGGCATGCCAATCAGATAGGCGCTCCAGCGCCGCCAAGGCCTTGGCCGTACTGTGCCTTTTATCACTTTGCCTTGGCATGGTGTAGATTTCCTTTCTCCCAAAATGCTTGGGATGATGTGATAAAGTTGCAAAGGAGTTGTCGTAAACTCTTTTGGTATCGCATGAAGATTGCTGCCTTCAAGATCCTAAGCCAGGCATCGTTATGAGTTGAAACCTGCACAATATGAGTAGTCCAGAAGCTTTTTCAGTCATTGATCATTGCTTCGTAAGGGTCAGAGCGACAGCAACGGACGTAGGCCTCCTCAAACTCGCGAGCGCACGTTGGAAAACCACAAAGCTTTGCGAACTCCGGAGCACTCGGAGCACTGGAGCACAGAAGGGCACCCCTGAACCCAGAGAGACGCCCGCCGCCCTGTTTCGGCTATCAGGCGATGGACGGGGAGCCGGCTGAAGCCGAAGCTGCGCCTGCGCCGGAAGCCGAAGCGGCCCCGGCTGAAGAGGCAGCCCCTGCTGAAGCCACGCCTGCAGCAGAAGCGGCCGAGGCTAAGGGGCTCAGATGCACTAGCACCGCCACCTTTTAGCAGTAGAAGTAAACACAGAATAGCTGTGGTGCTAGTGATAGTGGTAAGTGGTAAGTGGTACGTCAGGACTAGGACCGGAGTAGGAGTAGGAGCATCAGTAATCAGCACGAATAGCAGCAGGATCGGAAGTAGGTTCTTGCTGGTGTTGAAGTTTGTGGTCGTGTTGCGACGTTTTCGCGCGGCATAAGTCGGCAGCTCTCAGCTAGTATTTAGCACTTGGTAGTCCTAGTCTAGTCAGTTCATGATGCTATGTCGTGTTGCTCGTGGCGGCGAGGTAGAGCGGTTTGATGATGAGCGTGAGGTTGAAAGTGACTCTGCGTGCGTCGTGCCAGGCACCGGCTGATGCGGCAGAAGCTCCGGCCGAGGCCCGGGGTTTCTTTAAAGGGACTATGAGGGTACATGAGGGTACTAATAAGGGGTTTATCATTCTATAATATAATTTAATAAAGACTTTTCTACTCCCTCTGCGGTAGACCGTCATTCAGGAAGCTTAGAGTCTTAGAGGTGGACCCTAGCAGATGTCAATATAGTGATCCGAACATGTGACCGGCCATTTCAAGCTATGACTCTGAACCTGCCCTCCCCTCTGACCATGCCTTGCAGTCTCCCGCAGCAGGCTCTAGATGCTGCGCCGGCAGAAGCTGACATCCAGGTTGGCTGGCTGGTTCTTAAAGCTTCTGGCCTTTGGAATATAAGGCGTCCTACTCATATTCTGATTGGGGAGGCGACTGCGAGGACGACGACGACGACAGAAGCTAATACGCTACCACAGCAACAACTACCGCCACCACCACACTACCACCACCCTACTTGCCACTAACACCACGTACCACTACCCCCAGCACTACCACTAGCATTGCCACTTCCACTTTGACTACCGCTACCGCTACTGCTACTACTGCCACCACTACCACCACTACCACCACTACCACCACTACCACCACTACCACCACTACCACTACTACCACCACTACCACCACCACTACCACCACTACCACCGCCACTACCACCACTACCACCACTACCACCACTACCGCGACTACCACCAGTACCACCGCTACCACCGCTACCACCACTACCACCGCTACCACCACTACCACCACTACCACCACTATCACCACTCCCATCACGACCACCACTACCAATCACTGGCACTGCTACCACGACTACCACGGCTACCACGACTACCACGACTACCACGACTACCACGACTACCACGACTACCACGACTACCACGACTACCACGACTACCACGACTACCACGACTACCACTACTACACCACTACTACTACCACTACTACCACTACTACCACTACTACCACTCCTACCACTACCTGCCACCACTATCACTACTGCCACCACTAACGAATGCTACCACTTCCGCTACCACTACTCCCACTACTCCCACTACTACCGCTACTCCGCTACCACTAGTACCACTAGTATTACCGCTGCTACCACCACTGCCACTACTACCAGACTCCCACTACTACCACTGGCACTACTACTACTGCTACTACTACTACTACTACAACAACTACTACTACCACCGCTACCACTAGCACTTCTACGACGACTGCGACGACGACGGCTGCTACTGCTACTGCGTCTGCGACTGCTACTGCTACTACTGCTGCCGCTGCTACTACTACTACTACTGCTACTAGTAGTAGTAGTAGTAGTAGTAGTAGTAGTAGTAGTAGTAGTAGTAGTAGTAGTAGTAGTAGTAGTAGTAGCTACCACTACTACTACTACTACTACCACTACTACTAGTACCAGTACTAGTACTAGTACTAGTACTAGTACTAGTACTAGTACTAGTACTATGACTAGTACTACTAGTACTAGTACTACTACAACTACTACAACTACAACAACAACAACTACTACTACTACGACTACTACTACTACTACTACTACTACTACTACTACTGCCCACCTGCCACGGCGATCGCAGACGAGTCAGTCGTAAAAGCCCTGAAGCCACCACTCAAGGTCGCAAGTGTTCCGACTGTTCTTGTTGCATGACTTTCAGACCGAGTCGTGAGCTTTCAAGGAGCCAGCAGGAGATGCGGACGGTGAGGCCCTGGACTTGCTCAATTGCAAAAAGCAGCTTCAAGTATGTGTCCGTAGTAACACTCAAGACTAGAGACGCTACTACGGCTCACTACGGTTTGTGTGCTCAGGTGAGGAATCTTTTTCATTATTTTCTTGCCACTGAGACTGGGGAGCGCAGATGGAAGGATTCCGGGGTTCCAGCTGTAAGAAGCAAAGCGGTACAGCTGCCTCTCTTTTGCGGGTAGCTGCTCGGATACCTGGGCTAACTTCACAGTTAGACGAGACCCAGCATGCGCAGGCAACGCTTTCAGCCAGGGGAACATGTTTGCAAGACAGGTCTAGTGGGAAACAGCCCTTGTGAAGTGTGCTGACCAGGCATCACCGACGTCCCGCTTTGGAGGGGCCGCGACTACCGAGGTGGGCAGAGTTCAATGCCTACAAATCTGTATTCGGCGCCTGAGCTGTAGCCTTCCGCAGGGCGGTGATGAGACCAACACGGAAGGCTGGAGACTTGAATTATTGTGTTCGTTAAAGTCAAGTGTCACTACAATGGGGTCTGTCCGGTTTGCAGGGAGGTGTCTCCTGTGGATATGTGAGGTAGAATTTGAACTTGCAGCGTTCGACATAACATGTACAAGTCGAAGTGTTGCTCGTTTGCAAGCTGGAACGATCGTATCTGTCGCGAGTTTTGAGATGTGACCGTCATCCACACCAGCCACGAGTGACTGCTCCAACTCCGGTTTAGTTTGCTTCCCGAATTTTGATTTGCGCTTTGCATGCGGTCCGAGGTGATGACAGCCCTTCCGACAAGGCAGGAGATGTTGTCCCGAAGAAGCTGCGCTTCCGGGCTTGAAGCTCGCAGTTGTTAAGACCAGCGTCTTCCAGAAAATGATGGAAGGTAGTGAGGAGACAGATGGTGCACAGGCCGAGCTTTGCGTGTCATGCTTTTCTTGCCGCCGCGGTTGCCATGCTCGTCTGTCCACATTGTGGTCTCGACTCATACTCCGTGATTGTGACTGGGTTTCGGGCTTTCGTCCAACGGAGGCAAGCTTCCAAGGAGATCATTGAAGGTATCCGAAGGAAGCGAAGCACATCGCGCGAGGCTTAGTTAGCTTTCGCTTCGCTCGACCATGACCTGTCGACTCTGATCCCGGAAAACGGCTGCACATAGACGATTTGTAAGGAGTTTTGGCTATTTCCCAATCATCATGCCTTCTCATGCCTTGCTTGCAATGTCAGGATCCAGTCATCAACTCACGACGATGACGCGCAGGACAAAATCGACGCAGAAGAAGCCAGGCGGGACGAATCAGGATGACTTCATGTCAGTTTGGCCACGTCGCTACGCCATACTTTATTATACCATACCATCCTATACTGTACTATACGATATTTTGCTATACTGTACTGTACTGTGCTACAGTATGCTATACTATACTAAAACAGCTCGTGAGCTCCAGGTGGCGGATTCCCGCCAGCTTCTTCTACGACCCGAGCTCTCCAGAGCTCAACCCGCCTTTGGAGGACTCAGGGCTGAGGGTTTTGGATAAAGGGTTAAAGGGGGCTCCTACTTGGAGGATCATGGGACTGAGTAAGTAAGGTTATAAGTACCTTAATTGGGGTTATAAGTATAGTTACCCTAATCAAAATCCTAGTTACTAAGTCCCATGATCCTTTTAAGTACTGGTAGGATCTGTAAGAACCCCACAGCCCGACAGTCGGCTGAAATCGGCTTATGCAATCCGGAGGACTCGGTGTGAAAGCGACTATACGTCACTCTGCTCTACTGGGCGCTCGAACCATATGAGTGGTTGTGAAAATAGGGTCCCTTTTTGGGTCCCTAAAAAAATACGGCACCTAATAATTAGGGTACCCACTACCCATATTGTGCTACGCTAGAGTATAGTAAAGTTTCGGTATTATTATACTATAACTAATCACTAAAGCCGTCGTCCCCCTCTTCAGCTTCCCTGTAAAGGATCGAGAGTTGCCGCGGCAAGGGACGCGAGCAGCTCGCTTCATGGGCGAGAGCCTAAGCGCTTTGAAGCATCCTGCCATGAGCAAAACAAGGGTCCAGGTTGAGTCAAAAGCTGTGCTTGAGGCTTTGACTTCAGCCGGATCAACAACGCAGTCTGGACCTCAAACGAGGACTGCAGTCCGCTGCTGAAAGGTCTCCACGCCTTGATGTGCTGTTGGCTCCTGCTGCAGGAGTTTGCGTACATCACCGGCCACGTGGTTTGCTTCATGAACATACGCAACGCGGCCGCATGCTGCTCACAGGCACCTGCCTTCACATGCAAAGATCATCGGCCGTGCTGAGATACTCGCCAGCGACGTTTCCTCCATGGTCGTGATAATGGCGGCATTGGCGCTGTGGCGGTGCAATCCCCGGAAGGGAGAAGGGTGCGAATCAGCTGAGCATTGAATACAGGTGGCTGCAAGCACAGGACATAGGATAAACCAATCAATCTTGCATGATGAGTGACTTGAAGTCTGAGATGCTTTATCCTTGTGTCCCTGCCAGATGTCTCCTGACATGACGTATTTCGCGGTGGCTGAGAGAAGTATCACTTCGCAGCCAAATGCCACAAGCTCAGCTGCAGCTAGGCCACTTACAGTAGTGTTACGGAACAGAAATACATCGTGTTCTTGGGTCTCCATTTTGCTTGAACTTCTTTCCGTCTCTTTCGCCGGTGCCTGATGTGAACAGAGCCAGGGCTCCGTCATTGCATCTCGATTCTTCGTCTTTGCGGAAGCATGTTTCGAGTTCGAGGTTTACATCTACTCCTTCAAAACGATGAGGCCGGGGCAGCACGATTCGTTCTGCGAAAGCAGGGGCACGGGAAGCAAGGTAAGCAACCACTGCTGGTGCCACATGTCCACTCGTGCTGCAGCCACAGACAAACATATGCAATCATTGGCCAAAGCTCATTAATTCAGCCATGGCTTGTCAAGTCGGACAAACACAGCGCCATCCCTGTTTAATCTCGACTAGAGAGCTGCGCGTGCGCAAGAAGCGCGTCGCGGCAAGCGTCGCCATGGAGCCGACAGCGGCAGCCCCGTGCCGCCCGTGCCCGTGCGCGCTGCCAGCTGCCGCAGCTGCCTCGCCATGGACGGGGAAAACGACACCCTCGGCAACGAGACCTTCTTGGAAGTCCAGGAGGAGATCGTGGAGGAGATAGTCAGCGAAGGCTGGAGTCAGAATGTGTTTCTAAGATTTGGAGCTTCGTCCACCTTTCACTTCTTCCCGGCAAGAAGCGTGCCAGACACCTAGATTTCCTGCCTTCTCCCGCGAAGCCCGAAGCCTGTCTCGCCAGACCTTTGTTCTGCCCTGGGAATCTACGCCATCCACCGCTGCTCTGCACCGCGCGCTGGCCGGACGTGTGCTAAGGCGCTTTGGGGGTGCACAGGTAACCAAGCTTGCAAGCCTCACATCGCTGCGAGGAAACGCGCACAGGGTTTTAAGCATTCTTGACTAGATGTTGTTTTGGCATGGCAAACCAAGGCAGCAACAAAAACAGTCGTCTCCCCAGGGATTCGATTTGAATGGGTAAGGACAGCGAGTAACCCGTGCCGAAAGCATCAGCATCTGCGAGGTGGTGAAGTTTTGACGCTTCCGGCACAGACAAACACATCTTGCGTCCACGCAGGTGTTCACGACGAGTTCTTTTTTGTAGTGTGTTTTCCTGCACTGATGTATATTTCCTCTAACAAACATCCACACTGGTCTGATCTGTATGTCAGTGCCGCAATATGTGCTAAACCCTTTCGTAGTACGCAGAGCCTCCGTACGAATTGTTGGACGAACAGGTGTCTAATGGATGATCCAGAGCGGTCTTGTTGTTAGCGCATCGCTTTGTTGCAGCACCGTTTCATGGGCACTCGGCACCTTTCGGCAAGCCTGCACACGGGGATGTTTTGTGTAGTATATTAAGTTGGGCTTTTGGCTTTTGAGTCATGGCGAGTCCGTGGTCTAGTTGTATTGACAGAGCTCGCAGGCATATCTGCCGCCTTCTGCCGGGCAGACGCGCTGCAGATGGAACGACAGGCATCGCAGTTGGGAGTCAATTGTCTCGAGGGAGAGGTTTCTGACTGCTGCAATCCTTCCCACAGGCAGGGTGCAAAGCAGACTTCAGACAGGCTTAGGGTTTCAGACCTTGTACTTCAGCCGTGCTCCCCTCAGCATCTTAGTTTGCTGGTTTCAGTCGCGTGGAAACGTGAAAGAGGTGCATGCGCTGCCTTCCGCCCCCGTTGTACTTGAACGACACAGGCCAAGAGCTCACTGTGCTTGCTTTCCGTGCTAACGGCGAGTCGTGTAGAATCTGTGGAGTCCGTTTCGGAGCAGCTCCAGAAAGGCTTCACTAAATCGTTCTGTTGGACCGGTAGTTTGCCCGGGCCCCGTGTTGTTGGTCCGTCTTTGCTGGTCTGCGTGTGTTCGAGACTGTCGGTTATCCGACTGGGCCCTTGCTGACACTGCTTTGTCGCAGTGTGGTGAAGCTTCGTCTGTTTGGGGGCCTATTTGGGGGCCCCACAAGGTTTTCAGTGAGCAGAGCTTTCAGGACGAGAGCTTGAGCGATGAACAGTGAAGTCGCAGGCTGCAACGTCGACGGCGTCTTCTTCCGGGCGGATGGCAATTGCCCCTACCCGGTGCAAGGCCCTGCATCTCTAGATGTCTCTAGCTTCCAGCGATTTCCAGCGTGTTGGGAAGTGTTCGGGATACGCTGTGGGCCTACCAATATAGGGGCTTTAAAAATAAAACAGGGTTTTGGGGTTCATTATACGATGATTATGATTATAATAGGAATCCCAAAATAGTATTGGGTTTTGTTTACGCCCCTATATTGGTTGGACGGCCCTTTGTGCGTGGCTCGGGCAGGCGATGTCTGCAACGTATGCGAGGAGATCTACCTGCAAGAGGCATGAGCTGACATATCCTCTCCAATGCCTCAAGCATCTACTGACTACCCCGTAACAGACGCGGATTGAGCATTTATGTTCACTGCGAATGCCCGGGGCAGATTCACCAGTGAGCATGCCACGAGGCTTCGCCCGCATGGCAAACGTAGATGAGGAAGCCAGGTCTTCTGTCACTGTCACGTCTCGTGTGTTGAAGTCGAAGGCTTGGCTGAAGGATGCTCCTTGCCCTGGCATAGTACAACATACTATTACATACTACTTGTATGACTTTATCATACTGTAACATACTGTAACATAGTTTAATAATTTCTAATACACGTTACTACACCACAATGTACTACAGCACACTCTGCGCACATCGTTCAGGTCTGCCTGGGGTTGTGCTCCGATCTCTGCATTTGGACGATGCTTGGCTGGGTCTCGAACGCTTGCTGGCAGACTTTGGTCTTCCATGACGTCGGGCTCGCAGATTAGACTAGATTCTAGTATGTTATAGAAGATTACGTAGAATTGTATATAGTATGTTCTGGTATAGTATAGTATCTTATACTCTTTTATAGTATGCTATTGTGGATTAAAGCACGTCTCCTTTCTTGTGGCATCCGCTGTTCACAAGACTTTGTCGGTGCACATGGAGATTGACAGGCCTGTTTAGCGGCCTGAGGCAGTTCGGATGATAATGCGTAGTTCAATTCGCTACAGCCCCATCAAAGCGCACGTAGCTATGCTGACACAGGCAATACCACCAATGACCATAAACAAGGAGGAGTATTACAGTGGTGTCTATTTTGGTTCGCACGGTTTCTGTTTTCAGCGACTATTTCTCAAAACCTCTGGCATGTATATTTAGGAGTGTGTATGCCCCTGCCTATATCTTAGATGGGGCCCCGGCCCACTAGTAGTTCAACAATACGTTTATTATCAAACAGACAAGCCAAAAGTAGCACAAGGAAATCTGATCTCATTCGGTTTTCCAGGGCCCGGCAATGTTTTGAATCCAAATAAGTTTTGGCATAGTTTGGCGATTAGGGCTGCGAGACGGGGTCGGACCGGCGAAGAGGTTGGGAGGAGCTATCTGCAACTTACCAGCGAAGAGGTTTGGAACCACGGTTTCATTACCATCGCAACCTGGGCCCGGAGACCTTCTTTCAGACGGCCTGGACGCGGGGACTGGACCGGCCCGGCCGCCAGAGAGACAGAGCAAAACTAGCACCAGAAAAGCACAAATAAAAACCACAATCGGATAGTTCCGAGCACCAGAAAAGCACAACAGACAGAGACAATTTTGCACCAGAACTGCCGCGCGCCAATGTGTTTTTGAAATCATGAAGCACAAAAAAAGCACAAACATGCAAACACATTTGGTTTTTGGAGCACAAGAAAAGCACCAAAAGAAACACAATCGGACCGCGTTGAGCACAAGAAAAGCACAACAGCCGGATCGTTTCGAGCACAAGAAAAGCACAAGACAAAAACACAAACATACAAACACGTTTGGTTTTTGGAGCACAAGACAAGAAAAAAAAACACAATCGCACCGCTTCGAACACAAGAAAAGCACCACAGCCGGATCGTTTCGAGCACAAGAAAAGCACAAGAAAAAAGCACAAACATACGAACACGTTTGGTTTTTGGAGCACAAGAAAAGCACAAAGAAAAAGCACAATCGGATCGTTTCGAGCACAAGAAAAGCCCAAAGAAAAAGCACAAACATGCAAACACGTTTTCGGAGGCGAGCCCCCAAGCCTGCGTAGATTGCAGAAGGAGTACAGGCAGAGCACAAAAAAAAGCACAACAGCCGGATCGTTTCGAGCACAAGAAAAGCACAAGAAAAAACACAAACACACAAACACGTTTGGTTTTTGGAGCACAAGAAAAGCGCAACAAAAAAACACAATTGGACCGCTTCGAGCACAAGAAAAGCACAACAGAAAAGAGGTCTCTGTGATCGAAATGTCGCGCCCGGGTACGCCTCTCAGTACTAAACTTGGTCGAAGAGGCCAGACCCCGGCCCGGCCCCAGCCCGCCCCCCAGCCCATTCAGTCCGTTCAGCGTTCCAGCCCAGCCCCTTCAGCCCCCCCCAGCACCCCCAACCCCCCCCCCCCCTAGTCGCGCAGAGGCATTGCAGCTCCTGATGTTTGCTCAAGATCGAATCCGAGAAAACAACGGGGGTGCGACTGTGTTTGCAACTCATGGGGTGGCAGTTTACTTGTTGTCTCAGTCTTGCGTTTTCCATTCATGCGAGCATGATCACAACCGAGTCAACATTTCATCATTTCCCTGGTGCTTCATCTTGTGCTTCTGTTTCTGCCCACTATTAGTGAGGCGGGGCCGCACACAACCTACATCTATATCTGTGTGTATGGTGTGTCTACCTCTGACTCAATCTCTCCTGCTGCCTCTCGTTCTACCTCTGGTCTAATAACTGTATAAGTGTGTTTTCCATACGTGATGCTGGTGCGAAGACACATCCAACAGTTGGAGAGCAGGCCAGACAGTAATTGCCCAAAAGGATTTGAACCTTGGTGCCCGATAGGGACCCGAACTGACGATGTCTCAGTTCAGTCGGAAGCCGCCGCGAGTTGAAACCTCCGAATCTTGAAGCTACACCGGGGCATGCCCTGCTTGCTTGGCCAAGGAATGTTTCCCGCTTTCGCGGCGTCTTCTGCACGTTGCGTGATCCCCCGCCGCCGCCGGATCAAACGATGTTGCTGAGGTGGGCCGCAGCTGCAAATAGGAAGGAGGGTACAGCCTCGGCGTGACTTCTTCTCCTTGTTGCAGGATGGTCAGCTCTGTCAGGCTTACAACTACGGATGAAGCGGAGCTGTAATGCTAGCCGGAAGCCCCATTCCCAGGATACTGATGATTGGTGGGGGGGTGATCGG